CGGAAGTCGTTGGGTTTGAGGAGGAGGAGCTGGATGATGAAGTAGCAGACCTGAGCCTCGTTCCCCTCGTGACTCCTCATCGCCTGCGTGGAAATACACAACCTTCAGTCTATTTGTTTGGAAACGTTTGTTCAGTGTAGCGTGTTGACACAGCAGAGCTCTCAGGAAATGCTTCCCAGTGTGTGTGTGTGACTTTCTTCATCAGTGCATGGAAACGGGATCTGATCTTCAGACTGGGCTGAACAGCACAAAAGCGCAGCAGGTCGCTGTGCACTGCAGGAAGGGTCCTTGTCACTGATGTGAGCGCTCGATCGGGACTGATAAATGGAGCATGTACAGTAACAGCAGGAAGCTGATTGATCAGCAGTCGAGCTGGCCTTCTGTTAGCTTCTGACACACCGATAATGTTTCACATGCAGCTTTACTCACATGCTGCGCTAACAGGCCAATAAATCCATGAGTCAAGCATGAAACGAAGCACAGCTGAATCACTGGAAATACAAACATACCGCTTTTTGAAAACGATTACATGCAGTCAAAGCACTCAGCGATGATGAATCTGCATTGTGGATTTTGGAATAGATTTAACTAACGCCTCCGATTTAAACCTCAGTGGCACAAATGCAGTTTACTTTCCATTGATTAGGTCTTTCAACTGTCTTTTTCAACTGATTTAATGACTGGTTTGCATAATCACTCACTGAAGTCCCAGAGTATCTGGTGTGTCTGTTTTGCTTTAAAGACTAGGAGCTACATTAACTAAACCTGATGATCAAGTTCTTCAGCATGATCTGAGATCGTCCATAAGCTTCACTGGACAATGAGATCATGCTCAGAGACACCCATTTACTGTTATCTGATTAGTCTTCTAGAAATAGTGCCCAAACAGCAATGTTTATTATTTAGTTCACGGTATATATCATAGATTCTTTTTATTTCCAAGCTCAAATTACATTTTGAAACCCAAATCTTCAATGCATTCTCTCTTCAGATCTCACTTGATGTAAGCACATGTTGCCATTATATTGGTGCATATAAACGTTTATAAATACATTTACTTAGTATTTGGATAGCTAGATCTGAAAGTTACTTATAGGCAATATAATGTCTATTGGGGGAGAATCAAAATAAAGCGCTAGCAGATATTAAGCAGACGGTCGACTAATACTCTAATGACTGCTAGTTGCAGTTACTTATAGTTAGAGGAACGTCTAAAAGTGTTACCAAAATATCATTCCTTGTGTTTATTTAGTGAAAACTCTGTGGAAATATAAACAATATCGTCAGAAGATACAGAAATAATGGCTAAATAAATACAGGGTTTCCGCAGGATTTTTAAGCTCAAATTTAAGACTTTTTAAGACCTGCACAAATAAAATTAATACCATATGAGCGGGGTAGGGCAATGTCTACAGTAACATATTAAACTGTAAAATGACTGTAAAAAGCATGATTTACAGTTCAGATACAGGTTTTCACAAAACCAAAAAGTTTTATAAAATGATACACTTCACATTTCAGCCTTTAAACCATTTTTAATAAAATGGATGAGCCTAAAGTATTAATTTAATCTATTATCAATCAATTATTACATTCATTAAATAACCTCTAAATATATTTTACGGTCTTAATTATTTAGATTTTTATAATGCATTATCTACTTGTTGATCCACTAGTTCACATTTACAATTCTGCGTGTTTGCGGTGTAAAAACATGTGTTGATTTTCACATTTGTCTGCACAAAAACAGCAGAAGGGCTGATTGAAATGCAGATTCATTCTCTGCCAGCAGGAGGCGTTTCGGAACGGCAGAAATACAGCGGTTTCCCCCGATAACAGCAGTACACGAAGCAGCGCAGCTGACTCTGAAACATGCAGAACTCATATTTAATCAATGAAATCACAGCCTTTTGAAGTTTAATCATCACATTAAGCCGTATCACAATTCTTGTCTTTCTGTCCCTCCTGAAATCATAATTAAGACTTTCTTGTACCATTTAAGACTTTTTATGGCCTTAAATTTGAAACAACTAAATTAAAGACTTTTTAAGGACCCACGGGAAGCCCTGTAAATAAGATTATGCTGAAACTACAACAGTAACTTTTTGCAGATACAGTGGTCACTGTGGAATTAATTAAGCTCCTGACCTGTGAAATAGACTCGAGTTGCAGATTATTGTGCTGTTATTGACTGGTCACCGCAGAGTTATTTGAGAGGCATTATTTACGAGGTGAAGTAAGAATGTGGTGAGAGGTGCTGTGGCAGGACAGGACGAGGTCAGAGGTCAGGGCTCACCAGGCACAGGATGAGTCTGTCTAGCGTCACGATGTTGTACTTCCACACCATATCGTTGAGGATCTCGATGCACTTGTTGAGCTGCTGTCCTCCTGCTGACGTGCTGAACTCGTACACTAGGAAGTCTGCAAACGTCCGCACATGGGCCACCAGCGCCCGTGCCCCGATGCGCTCCAGCACCCTGAGGAGAGGACAGATAACATGTTAGTCGGGCATTATCATTCATCTGATATCAGTTTGGCTGCTATGAAAGCTGCTTTTAACCTCTTTTCTTCTGATACACACATTTGATACACAAATTTCTAAAGCCTCTAAACGATCAACATGAGCAAACGTTGCTGTTAAGCCTGTCGCACACAATCTACTCCATGCTTCTGTCGTCTGATTGATAGTTTAGAGTTTATCATCAAGTCACAGCTCTTTTAGTGTAATTGTACAAACGTCCAGCTTCAGCTGTGGTGGACCCAAGTGCTGTTGCTAAAATTTTTTAAAAGGCTGCATACCAAAAAGTCCAGTGGGCCTGATGGTATTTCAGCTCTTTTACTTAAAACATTTGCTGATGAATTAACTCCAGCCTGGAGTCCATTATTTCAATTATCACTCGACACTGGATTTATTCCTACAATATGGAAAAAAAGCAGTCATTATCCCTGTTCCAAAAACACATCCAGCAGAGGAAAATAATGACTTTAGACCAGTGGCATTAACGTCCACAGTGATGAAATCACTTGAACGTATTGTGACAGAGAAATTGAGAGAGAATGTAGTGTATAAATTAGATCCTTATCAATTTGCGTATAAAGAAAATAGGATAGCTCGCCACAGGATTCTCAGGTTTACTTCGACTGAAGCGACGACTGAGTCGTGCAGCTACATAGCACGGCTAGCATCGCAGTACTCGTTCCCGTATCTCAGGGAACCGAGGTTACGTTAGTAACCGAGTACGTTCCCTTTCGATACTTCACTCGTACTGCGTCTTGCTTAAGACGCATACTCGCTCTGGGAGGCACGAAGGCTCCCGTTGAGCAGCCAGAGGTGCAGGGCCCACAGGTCAGGCCGAGGATGCCATAAAGTCCCGTTCGCTTGAGAGAGGAGATCCCGTCTCAGTGGAACAGGCCAAGGGGCCGCTATCAGTAGCCGAGTCAGCTCTGATAGCCACAGCTGGTTCATCCACAGGGGGGCTACCAGGAGAACCCTGTGTTTTTGTTCCCTCACTCACCTGATTACCAGTGGGATCAGAGCGATCGGGGGGAATGCGTAAAAGGAGGTTGGACCAATCGTGGGCCAACGCGTCCTTGGTCTTTGAGAAATAAATTTGGCAGTGAGAGTTGTCTTCTGAGGCGAAGAGGTCTACCTCGGCCTTGCCGAAGATCTCCCAGATTTTCTGAACAGTTTGCGGATGGAGCGTCCACTCTCCTGAGGAGACATTGCTCCTTGATAACATGTCCGCTCCTCGGTTAAATTTGACCGGTATATGCACTGCCTTTAGCGAGCGCAGGTTGGGTTGAGCCCACTCTAAGAAGCGCTCCACTAGCATGAAGAGGCGCTTTGAAGAGAGGTGTCGATTTATGTAGGACACAACCGACATGTTGTCCGATCGGATTATCACATGGTGCCCTTTCAGGACTGGCAGGAAGAACTGACAGGCTCGACATACTGCTAACATTTCCAGGCAGTTGATGTGGAAGCCTTTTTCCGCCATCGACCAGTGGCCGAAGGTCGGTAT